TTTATACATGTATCACCATTTTGTGCCCACTAAGTACCCACTATTTTCCTCTTTAAGAACTTGTTAGGAGAAAGGCGGCCAAGGGGGGATTTTAAACTCAGCCCCTCATGGTGTTTCAAGCAGAGACGAACACATCCTAATTCGTATAAATTCACGCCGGGTGTCCCACTTAGACTCGAGAACAGAGAATTTTTGCAAAATATAATCTAGGCAGCGGTTTAACGCCTTCCGTGTTCCAATGAGAGCCGTAAAATGTCCCTTAAGAACTGATCTGCAGGGTCATTAGATGGTATCAGATTGTTCTAAGAATAGTTAAGAATGATCTGGGGCTTGTACGGAGTAGTTCCTCCGCTGACTGATGGTCCTTTTTCTTTCTTTTTTTGCTTATCTCAGAAACGGCGGTGAGAGATGGCGGAAAAGTTCCGGAGATTTTCGATAAGATCAAATCAATCGATACGATAACAACCATACCTCTAGATCTATCTGTTAAAGCAGAGGGAAGAAAGAAGAAGGAAGAAAGGTTATTAATCCCAGAAATAGCTAACTAAGATCATGTCCGTGAAATCACATAATCTCCTAACAACCAGAGAAATTTCTCATCGTTTGCGAAAGAAATGTTGCAATTTTCTCCCAGATGACAGGAGTACTGCAAAGGAACTCATATATAAAATAGTCTTCCCGGCACTTCAAAGCTTCATTGCTTGCCTTAGCCTGTTTACCCAGACTCATTGACAGCACCGTCCCGGTTCTGTCCGTTCAAAGGCAATTAGTCAACTATTCTCATTTAACTAATCATACTCTGTTACAAACCTACTTTCAAGTTGGAGCAATTTCGACAGTCAGTGCAGTTTACCATATTGGAGCAATCCTGGCAATGAGTGCAGTTTTCCATGTTGGAACAATTCTGGCACTCGGTACAACTTGTCATGTTTGAACATTGCTGGCATTTTTCACAATTGCTGCAGTTGCTGCAGAATGAACACTCGACACAGTCATTGCAATTGGAGCACTGGAGTTATTCGTAAGCACATTTCAGCAGAGACATCCACATTGGCAGCCCAGTTGATAGTATGGTCGTAAAATGATCTAGATAGTGTAGATACATACATCATTACATCCTGTGAAGTGGTATTTAGCACTGCCAACCTGTTTGCAGAACGTGTTCTCACCTTTGCAATTATGACAGTTGCTGTTGTTCTTGTTTCCGGCATCATCACTGCAGAAAGGGAATTAGTTGGTTAATTAGGCCGGTTGAGAAATGAACATAATGAATATTCCTGAACGGGGAAAAGGTCTGAACTCACTCATTGTCAAGTGGAGCTCGCGAATCATGCGTCATGCTGTCGACCTTGGAAATATTTAGTTCACCAAGAATGCAAGTACTTGTCTCTTTTAATGTGTAGTGTTAAATGAAAGGAATAGAGATGATCAGGCAGGTTATAACTAATCACGACCTTATGTCAACATGACGTAATCGGTATAGAAGTGGGTGCATTTGTTTTGGTTATAATTTAGGTCAGTACCTACATCCGGTCAATGGGAGAACCTCTTATAAATTAAAATTGATAGATATATTTTATATATACTCTGTCAATAGCATCATGCCGTAGTTTGGCAATTTGACAAAATATACACGTTATTTGCGAAGGAACAACGCAAGAAGAAGAGAACATGCCCTATGTCTGTGAAATCCGCGTATTTGGCGAAGACCGTCTTAAACCTTGTTCTGGGCATTCTTGCTCATCGCTCGGACCCTGTGGCCATACTTATATAGCACAAAGGGTACCGGTGCCATGATGGTTGCAACGATGCCAACAATTGTCAACGACCAGTGGGGGCCGATGTTCTCGTACATCTTGACTGAGGCTGGACTCAAGGCGCCGGAGACGACGTACCGCGAAAAGGTCATAAATCCAAGAGCTGAAGCTGCATACCTCAGGTACACAAAAATGGTGTACATATAGGTTGTAGTAAAGATGCAGACAAGAGCATAACCGAAGATACCGGAGGCCACAATCGGCGACCAAATACTAACAGAGTACTAGAAAACAGAAGGGTATTAGCAGAGGTACGCATAGCAAGGTGAAACCAGCACTTACGTAGCAGGTCCAAGCCATCCAGAAGAGTGAGATAGGCATTAGAATAGAAGCCCCCGCCATAGCCCACCACAGGGACACTTCTGGCTGGAGAGCTTTGCCTTCGGTATCGGCCTTCCTAGCAGCCTTCTTGGTGAGGTCATAAAGCAAAGGAACCAAAGCCAGAGCGACAAGAACGCCAGGGATCATAGCAGCAAATATGACAAAGGTCAAGCTCGTGGAAATCCCGTACACGTTAGCGAATATAAAGGGATAACCGTTCAGAAAGGTGAAGAGCACAAAATATAGCAATACAAGATAGAAACTGAAAATGAGAATGAGGGGTTCGGTCCAGATCATCACGAAAGGTCGGTAGACATTAGTTAACAACCGAGCGCTAAACGAGCTAGTGGAAGTGGAAGCATGTTCAGCGCGATAGCGGTCGTCTCCCGTCAGATCACGCAGGTGCTTCGCGCGCCATTCCAGTAGGATGGGACTGAACGTTTCCGGCTGACCAAGAATCACGACTATCAATGTAACGCCAGCGATAATCATAGAAATCCAGTCGGCCCAGAGAAACCCGATCTCTGGTGTGTACGCCCCAATTACGGGGCCTAGGATGGGACCCATATAGGCGAATATGGTGAGTAATGGTAGGCCGAAAGGGATCTGTAAGGGTTGCCAGATGTCACCAACAGTTCCACCTGCGACCGTCATAGGTGCAGCTGCAAATAGAGCGCAAATGAAGCGGAAGGCGAGGGCGGCACCATAGTTTGGTGCCAATGCCTTGGCCATAGTGAACAGAATGACAAAGACCAGAGTAACGAAATAAACAGCGTTACGGCCGAAGGTCTCCGAAAAAGGGCCAGAGAATAGCGAGCCTACGCCAATGCCGATGAGAAAGATACCTGTACTCAGTCAGCTTCAGTCTGTATATATCGGACTTTGTCCTCGCAGCCAATGCAGAATAATTAAAAGGTATAAATAAAAAGCCAAAGATGGAATAACATACCAGTCGTCATTGATCCAGCCATACCGTTCACACCAAAGTGAGCATCAAAGGCGTCTTGGGTCGCCCCCTCGACGGATGATGGAACCGTCATCGCAATGGCAATCAGAGCGCACATCAACATGACCATCCATTTCTTCAGTAGTGACCAGTTGAGGGGGTTACTCGGATCGTTGTCTCTCCAGCCGACCACCAAGACAATATCGCCATTGGCTCCGTTTAGCCGTGAAACCGTAACACCAGGCACAAGAATCATATCAGTCGATATCACTGCTTTTTGGTCCTCTTCTGCTTCCGGGCTCGTATAACCATCCGCGTTTGCCTCGAGCGAGGATGGCGAGGTGTTGGAACGCAAGCTGAACGGTTTGGATTGGACATGTGCCAAGTCCTCTTCCACCTCTCGGCGGAGACGACGGTACTGCAAAATTGACTGCATACCTGATTTCACTCAATAAAGGTCGCTGAAATTAACCTGAGTACTAGTTTGAGCTGGAAGAAGGGTAGATAATTGGAATAGAAAAGGATTCAGCCCACGAGGGCACCAGAAAGATTTATAGTCCATGTCCTCCATTGTAACGCTTCCCTTTCTAGTCCATAACAAACATCAATCTATAGATTTATCACCTCAACAGTTGGTCAGCGTAACCGGCAACATTTTGGATCGGGGAAATTCTGACCTCGGAGACTTAGGGCTCAGAGGCCGGGCAGATAACAAGCCGGCTCGGTGTGGACCGCAACGGGTGAATCAACGATATCTCATTGGTCGAGGAGTCAGGGTCGGGGATTCAAGTACTGGGTGGAGTGATAAAAAAGAGAGAAAGCAAACAGGCCGATAGGTCGCTTCTAATGCAACGTAAACGCGATAGAAACCATTGCTAGTACATCGTACACTGGAATGCAGACCAGGTATACAATCAAAGTTAAGGTCGTCCACGGGTGTCAACAAAGAAGTCGATAAGAATCTGCCCATTTAATACTAGCAATACACTACCTAGAAGATTTGAAAAGAATATTCTTCACGACAAAATATTTAACAACCAAAAATTTGAATACTACCTGATCTTTGAGGGTGTGAACAATATTAGAGTATCTGTATGAGGGACTGATGTTTATGATAACCTTAAAACAGAAGAATGGCCACTAGGCATCCCGTTGACAAATTATAATCGTATATATATTTTCCAATGAGCGATCCGAGGCACCTCAACCCCACCATAATGAGAAATGAGGGAGCGTCACCTTAATGTCGTGAAAACAGAGGCGGCAGCGAATGGTGAGTTCGCTATAGGCAGGGTGGAAATCTATATAATCACCTTGAAGCGCGATGCCGGAGTTATACTACTCAAGACCTAGTAGTTCTAATAAAAAAATCTTGGACTGTCCAAAATGAACATAGCACTTGGTTATCTCCCTTGTTAGGCACTTCCAATGTACTAACGTTGGAAAATGCTAAGTACATTGCTCTTGTGATTGGTCTAGTGTTCATTCATTCATTTCTATTATTGAGTCGGTCGAAAATAGGATAATTAAAAGCCTAGTAGCCCTTTTGTTTATCCTCTATATCCTTTGTTTTGGCTTCCAGGGGATGACAATGCTCATTTGTTCATTTCGAAAGAAATAGTGCACCTATGTCAGTTTTTGGTCGTGAAGACCTTACAAAGTAATTCTATTGTTGGCACATTCCTTTGTTCTAAAATACGTTAAAGGGAAGTATGGATAGGTATTGGCATTGACTCGAGTTTCAAAGGGGTCTTCAAGTATTTAACTCTCGATGAAGCCCATCCAAACTCTCGATATTTATTCACAGCAAGCATTCAAACAATCAACAGTGAGACCCAAACAATCCAACAAGCCAACAAGCCAACACTCTAACCACCTCACCCAACACAAATCATTTGTCATTAAAACTTTCCAACATGCCTCGAACCAACTTGAAATTGCGCGCTAATATGAAGGAAACTGAAGACAGTCTTAGGAGAATCTGGATGCCGCTTCGTCTTGACAACTCTAATCATCCACAGAATGCGCTTGATCGTCAGTCTGTTATCAATCTTATCCGAAGTGTCTACGATCCTTTGCTGATCGCTTGGCTTGCTGAGCTAGGCCACACCTGGCAAAACCAATTTTCGAGAAAAGTTTCCGGTAATGAGTTTCAAACACAGATTCTAGCTAGAATTGGAGAGCTTCCAGGAGGAGTTCAGTCGATAGAGTCTGAGACAATCCTTGGTGGAATTCTATACGATATTCTTCGGTTTTACCGATTCACCGATGCCGCCTGGAGGGTACCTTTGTCTGGCGCTGCTGCACCTCCTCCTCCTCCCCCTCCCCCTCCTGCTCCTGCCTCTGCTCTTGCTGCTACGACTTCTGAGGGGTCATCTGGGGATGTGCTTGTTGCTGCTAACTTAGAGGTGCTTATAGATGCGGCAACACAAGTACTTGGGTCTACTACATCTTCTGAGGGGTTGTCAGGGGATGTGCTTTCCACTACTAACTTAGAAGTGCTTATAGATGCGGCAACCCAAGTACTTGGACCAACTGGTGCTGCCCCTACTCCCCTAGAAATACTTGCAGAGGTGGCAAGCACAGCCGAGCCTAGTCCTATTGTTTCTCCTACTTCTTCCCTTGATATACTTGCTGCTGCTGTTGCCACACGTCCATATGCTCCTGTCCCTGCCCTTGCTGCTGCTGCCTCCCCGATTGACTCTCCTGCTCCTGGGGCCAAGCGAGGCAGAGACGATGAGACCGAGGATGAATCTGAGCAACCTGCTAAGAAGAAGCAAGCAGTGAGTCCGAAATAATACACACTGTATTATCATTTTCATTAGTGTCTATATATCTATTTTGTACCATAGGCACATTGAATTTTATATAAATATCTCTTCACGTTAAGTAACCGAGCTTAGAATTAGTGCTGAATGGTTCTGACCAATTGCACCATCCTGCACATGTCTCTTATAAGGCATAATAGTCCTATACTTCCTATATTCCACCTATAAATCCGAATTTTGCTATTTCTTTCTCCAACAAAATATATATAAACGTGTTATTTTCATATTCATGTCAAATATTACTATGGCCACAAAATGTTTTGTAGTAGGCCCAAAGCCTAATTGACGCTGGACAATCTCCTCCATGTATTGCTAATAGCCTACTAATTATCACATATAAAGCAGTCGAGATTTCCATAGTGTACCCAGCTTCTAGTTTTCTGGCTTTGACAGCTGTCTAATATTTATTGCTAATCTACCACACACTATGGCGTGGCCTGCATTGTGGGCCTTTACTAAAATATCTCAAATTAATAACAGTAATAATATCATTGAAATGTTGAAATAGATATTAAAATAAATCCTTGTTATTGTTCTCATACATTGATAATGTAGCTTGAATCACCTGACCATGGGAAAAGGAGCCCAGTCCCAAAAAGGTTAGTGGAATTTCAGTTCTTGGCAGTCACCCGTGAGTTTTGCGTGTCGCGACCAACCTCCCCAAGTGCCCACCAGCAACCCGTCCAATCATCACTTTAGGCCTCCTCTTCCATCTCCCACGGCCTTGATTTACGCCATTGCTGGCTTTTTCCCACTCGATAGTACTATTGCACTTTACACGGCAGACATTGATATACGGGAAAAGAGTTGACATTCTGCCGACCGCGACAGCTGCTTGCTTTGATCTATCATGGATGACACTCCCATCAACCCAGCTGCGGCCCACGATAATGTCCAGTCTGTGACTGGTCTAGATGGCACAGCTGATGCAACTCGCGAAGCCGAAGGTATGCCTACTCTCAAATGACTGTGACGTTGCACTGAGTGCTAAATTTGTGGACAGGAGCGCAATCGCGCCAGGATTCGCCCGTGAAGAAGACTGAGAATACACCTGGGTCCGACAACCCGATGGACGCCCCCGCATCTCCCAAGCCTCGGAACGGCGGAGTTGAACCAGAAGACGAAGAGATGGGTGGTACTGAAACCGACGCCAAGCCCGACACCGAGGGCTTAGAGGATGCTGTTGGCGAGTCGCATCCGCAAGTGGAGGGAGCGGATGGGCTTGAGGATGCTGTGGGTGAAGAACAATCCGCGCCATCTAAATCGACTCTGGAAGCCGCCGCACGCGAACAACTCGTCACCCAAACACACGCCATTATCCTCCCTAGCTATGCGACATGGTTTGATATGAACACTATCAACCCAATTGAGAGGAAGGCTCTCGCCGAGTTCTTCAATGGCCGCAACCGCAGCAAGACGCCTGCAACATACAAAGATTACCGAGACTTCATGATCAATACCTATCGATTGAACCCCATCGAGTATTTGACTGTTACTGCTTGCCGTCGCAACCTTGCGGGTGATGTCTGTGCTATTATGCGTGTTCACTCATTCCTTGAGCAGTGGGGCTTGATCAATTATCAGGTGAGGAGTTTTGTATTTCCCATTCAAACACCTTAGCTAACATCTCTGCAGGTTGACCCTCAGACACGGCCGTCCAACATTGGACCGCCATTCACCGGTCACTTCCGAGTTATCGCAGATACTCCACGGGGTCTGCAGCCATTCCAACCTGGACCAAATCACAGCGTGACGTCCGGCAAGATTCATCCAGCCACACAGCGTGCCGCTTCTTCCATCCCCGCATCTAAAGACGACCTTAATCTCGAACTACGCCGCACCATTTATGACGAAAAAGGCAAAGATATCACCTCCGCCGAAGATAAAGAGAAGCATACCAACGGCGAAGCAACCAACGGCTTGGACATTGCCCAGGAATCCAAGAAGAAGGCACACTGCTTCTCTTGCGGAATTGATTGCACCAAACTTCGATTCCACTATGCCAAGTCGGCTTCGACATCAGCCAACGTCACTACGCCAGACACCAAGTACGATCTGTGTCCCAACTGCTTCCTTCAAGGGCGAATGCCTTCTAGCCACAATGCTTCGGACTTTGTTAAGCTCGAGGACAAGGGCTACTCTCATTTGACTGACAAAGACACTCCATGGTCGGACTCGGAACTGATTTTGTTGCTGGAAGGACTGGAGAACTTCGATGAAAACTGGGAACAAATTGCGAGCCACGTTGGCACACGATCTCGGGAAGAGTGTGTCATGAAGTTCTTACAGCTGGAGATCGAGGACAAATACGTTGAAGATGTCCCCGAGCCGCAGTCTGGTAGCGGACGTGACCCTATCAGCCAGTCCGAAAATCCCGTTCTTTCTGTTGTGGCGTTCCTGGCCCAGATGGCGGAGCCCGCAGTGGCTGCCGCCGCCGCCGGTCGGTCTGTCGAGGAGATCCGCAAGGAGCTCCGGAGCCAGCTGGAGAAGGGACAGGACAAGGGCAAAGATGCAGTCAAGTCCGAAGACTCCATGGACGTGGACCCCGCACGTGAGGCCGAGCAGCAAGTTTCCGCAAAACCCAAGGAAACCCTTGGCACCATCGCCCTGGCTGCATCTGCCGCACGTGCCGGAGCCCTTGCCTCGCACGAGGAGCGTGAAATGACCCGCTTGGTCTCCGCTGCAGTCAACGTCACCCTACAGAAGTTCGAGATCAAGTTGCAGCAATTCAATGAGATGGAAGAGATTATCGAGGCTGAGCGTCGTGAGTTAGAGCAGGCTCGCCAACAACTCTTCTTGGACCGTATGACGTTCAAGAAGCGTGTTAAGGAGGCTCAGGATGCGCTCCAGACTGTCAGCCTGCAGGGCCCCAACGAGCACACAAACCAGATGCTGGCTGATGCTGCTACTACGGGCATTGGAAACCACTACAGCTTCCAGCCTGTTGGCGGAGATCTGCGGGCTGGCACCCAGCCTCTGAGCTCTCAGGGTGGTGCCGACTACAAGACCCTTGACCTGTAAGCTTCCTCATTACATGTACGATAATCCCCCATGGATTTTCTGAGAGAGGAATCCAGAGGGGCTGCTTTTCGTCTCGCTGAGTTATGAATATTCTGAACTTTCTGGCTTGGAAAAGGCGCACTTTTTGTTTTTCTGTTATCTGCTGGAGTTCTTTTCTGTTGATTCACCCTCTCTCCAGAAAGTGGATTGTTCTTAGGGGGTTGAACTAGGGGGCTGGGGATCTTTTTTTTCATCAATGTGTTTACTCTTTAATCATATGTCCTTGATGGGAATCTTATATTCTTGCTCAAAGTAGATTGTAGTGTCTCTCATTCAGCCCCCTGTAGATCGCCTGGTTGACCATACTTTAAAGTTGTCTCGTCAAGTTTCATCCAGGATTCTTTGGCCATTGGTGGGTTTTCTCCTCGCTGGGATCCATTCCCATCGTGCTCACTATCAATTATTGCGTCCTCGCCCGACACAACCGGAGCAGAGAGAACAACTGCTGGTTCATTGTATCTGGGCCTTTTCAGCGGAGGCATTTCCATGTCTTCCTTCAGATCAGCGAAATCATATCCGTACTCCTCCCACTCGCTGCGGTAGACAGTCCGATCCCGCCAATTAGAGATATCTTCTCTGATTCTGCGCTCTGGCAATTGCTTGGTCTCGTCATCGGGCTCCTCTGCCTTCATGGGTTCGTCGAGGACAGGCGGCACGGGTTGGTCCATTAACGTCAGGAAGTTGGCCTCTTCGCCATGGCTGGCGTTCTGGTCTGCGATGTCTGCTTCCTCTTCTTCTGGGTCCATTTCTAGTTCGTCTGGCAATACAACTGGCGGTGGCATTTCGGATGGCTCTCGCGTGGGCAAAGGGTGGTTATCAAAGTCCTCTGGTTCTGAATCTAGATCTGATTCAGGTTCGAACTCTGGCTCTGGTTCTGGTTCTGATTCTGACTCTGACTCCGACTCCAGTGGTGGCTCCGGTTCTGGCATTGGCTTCAGTCCTGCCTCTTGGTTATTGACTTCCATTCCGATCTCATCGTCAATGATGGCGTCGTCCTCGCTGTCCTCTTCATCGTTTTCATTGTACATGCTTCCGTCTTTACGGTATCGGGTCCACTCGTGTCTGTCGATGATCTCCTCGGCTTCTTCGTAGGTGAATAATGTAGGCACCCAGCCTTTCCGGTTGTTGATGTCTTCTAGGACAGTTTCATTGCGACGCGCAATGTCCACAAAGTTAGGCCTGCAGTGCTTCATGTTGAGCACTTCAATGGCGGCCCGCACATCTTGTGTTCGAACATATCCTTTTCTATCATTCCCACTGCGGTTCGAGCTGCGCAATCTTGACATTGCAAAGAAGAGAGATGACTGGACCAAGCGGCGGGTGACGCTAACAGTGAGAGAATAAAAGTCCACAGCGGTATCTGCAGTCATAGACGGGGTATGTCCATAGGCTGTGATTAGGTCTTTCCTCTTGGCAAGGTTCCACCAGTTGTTCTCAGCTTGTGTACCACCAAGGTTCATGAACAAAACATAAGAAAGTCGAATACAATATGGAATATTCAGCAAATCAGCTGCGAGACGGAGAGCACCTCGAACACCGTCGTTATCCCCGTCAGCCAGAGCCTGTGCACTAGCTTGAGTGAGAATCCAGTTGTCTCCATGTTGCTGTGTACCGGCTCGGGCTTCAATGAGGGACTCTTTCAATGATAGAACATCCGCATATTCCTCGAGTAATCCGCAGCATTCCTGGCTGATCTCTGTGGCCGCTGCGACATCGCTCAAGACAGGCATGCGCTCCAGGTGAACGTCGGAAGCATACTGGGCCGCCAAAGCCTTATGTAAAAATCGGATGTATTCCATAACCTCGAGTTCCGACTTGGTACCGACTGCAGCAGCAATCTCTTTGATGCCGCTCTTGCCCTTCCGGTCCAGTGCGTTGAAGAACACTTCTTTCTCCGTGGGCGTCCAGAC